GTAGTCACTGGTGTCGTAGCCAATCGGTCTAGTGGTAAAAAACAAGTCAACATCCATTGAGATCCCCCCCCGAATGAATTGAACCAGGCAAAAGGGGTGTCATTTTTTTGAAAGGACTTACTTGACTGGTGGGCTTTCAGAACATACAGGACTTTCAATCATGGCGTGGTCACCCTCCGAATCTGTAATGGTTCTCTCAATTCGTTGTAAACAGCAGCCAAATGGCAATTGACACCTCAGGAATCTGCATTGGTTGCGGAATGACCAGAAGAAGAGGCTCTCCGGAGAGAAGGTGTTCGCGGTATGAGAAAGTCTTTTTCACCGGAAAGTTCGAAGCGATTCCCTACATGTGCAAGTCAACTCCCTTCGTTGTACCTAAGTTCGTTGCTGGAGTTGGTCATACCAAAGCACTATTCAATCTAATTTTGTTTTTTGGACCAGGTTTGCATCGGGTCAGACTGGACTTGGGGGGATTTAGTTCGAACCCGCTAACTCCTATATAGTTACAACTCTAGCCGAAGTTTGTTGCTGGATTTGGGTCTTTGGATAAAGTGCTCGCCTACTGGTTCGACTTCACTCATGTATACCGTATTAGTATATCTGGAAAGCCATGATGGGCTATGCTACCCCATGTACATGATCCTACCATCCAAGTGTCCTTTGCGCTTTTGAATTTTGAGACAACCGCGATCTATCTCGTCGACGTTCAAAGGGTCCTTATAGAAGCATCTTCATCTTTTTGCACCCAGCATGATGCCTGGTGGACATGTGCTTTCGAAGGACACCACTCATATAATACTCAATATCAAAAAAAGAACGGATGAACATGAATGAACTTTAAAAGGATAACCTAGGATCCAACTCCAACTTGGTCTAGTGCCAATCAACTTCAACACCTCCGCAAGCGACCCCAACGCATGTGCTAGTACTGGACTCCAGACTGCTGCTCCGACACAACATGTGAATCTGTCAATGACCCAAACACTTGGCGTAGAGTCGTAGAGGACTCAACTCACCAATTCCTCGGTTGCCCAATCACTATAGAACCATATCAGATCCAACAAAATACACTGGTACCTCGGACTCCAAAAGCCCCCAAGCCAGGCTGGGTCTACACCACGTGCCGTGCACCACGTGCAGAGTCCACATCTTGGGTAGGCGGACGCGCCGCGCGCCTCGCAGCCGTCCTCCACGCCGGGCCGGCGACACAGCACGCCGCCGCCGAAGAGGAAGCGCGCTCGCTGTGTCTGAGTTTGGCCGTTTGGACCGGTCGAGGAGGTCGGGGGACCGGTCGGAGGGGGAGGTCGCCTTAAGGTACTAAGGGCTCCCAAACAAACAGGTGGGGTCTGAAGAAGGAACCAGAGGCGTTTTCGGGGGTGAAGTGGTCTGGATGTGATCTGTAGATGTGATCGATATACCCCAGACATTCCATTGTATGCCCCATATATGCGGTGGTTTGGGGGGGTCAGTGTAGGCATATATGGCGTGTCTGGGTATACGAGCCTTGCTGTTCCAGGTGAAACCATGGCATATATCGTAGAAGCCAAGGATTGCAAACGCGTATCAAAAAGAGATCTTCTTCTTCGGAACCAGGTCTATGGTGACCTACGTCTGCACCCGAAGCGGAGCACCCGAAGCGGAGCTCCGGAAGATGACTCTCAGGACCTAAGACCGAGCACAGCGCATGCATCTGAGTGGAAAGGGTGGAAAGGGTGAAAGGGCACACCTTAGGGTGGTATGTAGTGTCCGGGTGGTATGTGGTGATGGAGCCGTAGGGTGCATACATCCAAGTTTTATCTCCTACGGCTCCAGCCACATCTTTGGGTAGTTAGAGTTAATGATAGACACCCCTGGCACGCACCTAACTACCTCCTTAGGGGGTAGTTAGTTGGAGCCCTAGGGTAACAAACGGAATGGCAGCAGAATACTGGAAGGCATCATGCTGAACTCCGCAAGGTGACATGTTGAAGATGTGTCACTTTGGAGTGTTAGGGGAGGGTTGTGAGATGATCAAGGGTTACATCAGAAGAACTACTGACTCTGAAGACTCTGAATGATGTAGCAACACATCAACTTGCAAGGAAGAATCCAAACTGTCCAAACGTTGATACCAATTCCCCAGACCGACCGAGGTGCCGTTGCTGATCGGCAAAGATTCTGGAAGAGTCTTTGCATCGGTCACCAATGTCACATCCAGCCTTTTCACCACAAAAACACGTGGCGCGGGTAGTTTGCTTCTCTAGAATCCACATTAATAGGTGTGATTTCAATGGGTAGACTGGTCTATAAGCTGGGAGTCTCCCTATTGGAGCTACACACCCTTCTAAGTGCCAGCCTGGAATAAGACCCCAAGTCCTGAAATGCCATTGTTGTTCGGGGGGAGAACCTCTGAATAGACCCCGGCGCCATCACAACTTGCATGGAGATGGGAATGCATGTCTTCTAATGGTGAGGTCAAAAAGGTCAAAAAATGCGGCAAACAAACATCAAAGACCCATGTGTTCACTGGAGATCCATAAAGATCAGCATCGCTTTGGGAAATGTTGAGGCCTCTTCTGATCTTTCCTGCCATCAACAGTCATTCTAGCCATGCTGGAGCCACCAAAGTCCCCAACCCATCCGGTCATTCCGGGACCTCGCCTCCTGGTCGGGGCCAATGAGGATCACATGCAGCCCCAGCTTCTGGACGTCGGAAGTGCGGACAAAACGGTCTTCGTGCTTTGCGTGTGCTTTGCCCGGCGTGTTTGAGTTGATTATACAGAAGCAGCTAGTGACTCATACAAACATGAGTCATTATATACCCCATTTTAAGTGCCAGTGCCAGTATGATGTCTAAAATAACATGTATTTAATTGACTAAAGTTGTGATTTGTAGGTTTCTATAGGTTAACGGTTGTACCTAAGTTGTTGAGAACGCGTGGTTCACAGCATATGCCTGAGCAAACCTGAGGAACTCAAGGGCAATGTGCATTAGCCCATGAATCTGTCGTGTCATACCACGCTGACTAGGGGTCAGCCAGCAGAAACGCTACTCACAAGAAAGAAGTGCACCCTTCCAAAAATGGTCCGCGCGACAAAAAGTGGGAACGTGAACATGCAAAATTTTCTGCGCGGAAACCCACACATCAAGAGTCTGCTGGCCAGACTTGAATGGTTGAAATTGGGTATAAGGCAGCGAACTCGGTCAACAGCAGCTTCCAAACTCCGCACCTCTGCGCCGTCGTAAGTAGGCTCAGAGTTTTCTTGCTTTCATGCATATTCATGACAAACATTCATGGGTTCTTATAGGAGGTCTCTCTTGCAAATCGGTAGTTTCACACAAAAAAGAAGGTATAACTCAAATTCAGAACCGGACATTCCGATCCCCGGTCTCCCCAGTCTCATCTCTTCCCAAGCACATCGACCAATGCCCTCCGGTGTCTGCATCTGGCATGCGTCCGTCCGTCGCGCGACGTGCGACGACCAAAAACCCACACCTGCAGTTCGGCGATGGCGTCATCCACCACTAGGTCGGCCTGCAAGAGATCCTGACAATCCTCAAGTCGTCGCCAGGGGCGTGACGGGGCGCGCGGTGTGCGGTGCGCGCGGGTTTGGACGGAGGGTTGTCCCTGAACAAGCAATGAGGAGGGCATATAGACCCGAAGAAGACCATTGTTGGAATATTAAACAGGTGGTGCCATCCACTTCCATTACTACATAATTCTACATACCTTCTCAGAAATCTCAGAAGGTACTTAGACCCTCCAAGCTGACATCAAAAGTCTCCAATCACCGTATCTCAGGTTCGGTATGTGGATCCATGGTTTGCAAACGCGGGAGTGTAGTTTGCTCTTTGTGCAGCCGGGGCACAATGGCGCAAATGTCCAGGCGCAGCTTCGCTGGACGGGGGTCGCGTTTGGGGGCCATGGCTTTCGGCTCTGTGAAGAGTCAGTCGTTCAGTCCGTCGTGTAGGAAGTACATGGCAACGTTCAGAGAGTCGCTCGATCCAAAAATCCAGAGGACAAATAATGTTTATTTCCAAGGTTGTCCACGCTATTCCTGTAGATGTTCCTGTATAGTCAACATAAACCTCTAGCTGTCTAAATTCCAGTGCAAGAAGTGACACACATCTGAACAAGTCACAAACGCCCTGAAAGCTCCCAGTGCGGCACATAGCCAGGAATGTCGACGTAATCCCATGGTTGGTTGCCTTCTGAGTGCTTCCCATGGGACTTGGTTGTGCCATGTTGTGCCCTCTTTTTGGAGCCGAGGTGGATTGAATGCGGACGCGGTTGCACTGTTGGGTTTTGCTATTTGTATCTATTTGTTGCTCAGCAGGGACCCTATCACTGCACGACGGGGGACTCGTCCGACAAAAAAAGATCTGCAAATGCACAGGTTTGACTGAGAGTAGGCACCCATGATTGTTTGACCCCCTGTTCATTCCATTCCTCACACAACCAAGGTTGAACCATGTTGAAAATCCTGAAACATGGGACCTTGAAAGCTTCTTCCCATTTCTTCCCCCATATGGGTGTGTATTCAATTCGGGAGCCCCGCAGTTTGACCCCTTGATTAAGCAAAAATAGATGAACACCCAAGAAGTGTGTGGGTCTCCCTATTTACGTATACACACACACATATGATGTTTGCCAGCTAAATCCTCCATGTCATCGACATTGTCGATCCCAATCCACCCTGGATTCGAACAAAACCAGCCGACGTGAGCAGAACGAACGTGAACAGTCTCCCAGATCTTGACCCAAACTTGCACTCTGCAAGTAGGTAGTGTTTCCATCCAGTTTCCATGAATTCACATTTATCTTCAGAAGCTGGACAAGAGCGGACTTCTTCTCCAAAGGACTAAGGACTTCTGACTGTTTATGGGTGTGTTGCACCTACTGTTGCACCTCTATACCGACCCACCTTACCACAGCTTCCTTGCGCACCCGACTTCACCTCACCCGCCACCTCGCCACCTCGCGGAACGCCGCGTGGCTGCTCGAGCGCCGCCGAGCGGCCTGGATACTTCTCGCTGGCTGCGCGCAGCACGCGGCTTACCGTCTCGTCCTGGGCGTTTTCGGGTCATCTCGGACCACGGACCGCAGGGTAGAAACAAGAAGCTAGTAGGAACAAGTGCATCGCTACTAGTAACAGGTGC